AGAGAGCGAGAGAGAAAAGCGGAGAGAGATGAGCGAGACAGAGAAGGAGAGAGAGAGAGAGAGAGAGAGAGAGAGAGACAGATAGGGAGCGAGAAAGACGGTTTTTGCGCAGTTTTTCGCGTTTTACTCCCAAATCCCGTTGCCGGTTTAAAAAGCAATGTATTACAGAAATGTGCGCCTAACACGATTGCATCAAAATCCGAAAAATGGAGGTGGGTCATCCGACTCGATTTCGAGCTACGAGCAATTTTCCAAAAAAAATTTACTTTTTCCCAGTTTTTCGCCTTTTTCTCCTAAATCCCTTCGCCCGCTTCAAAGGCAATCTATTACAAAAATGTGTGCCAAACCCTTCTACATTATAATCCGTAAAAAAGGAGGTGGGTCATCGGACTCGTTTTCGAGATCCTAGGACCTCCGTGTTCAGAAACGGTCAATTTTGCAGTTTTTCCCTCTAACTTTTTTTTTACTGCCACTATTAGCTTTTTAATATCTATTACCGAAATGTAGAGCAGAAAATTCTGCGTCGAATGATATCCTGGGCGTTAAAATTAAACCCAAATTTAAAGTGGTTCCAGGACCTCCCAAGTGGCGACGTCTGAAAATCGCTCCCCGACGCAACCTCTGCCTTCGTTTTTCAACACCGCATATCTCAGCCGTCATTCTACCGTTTCTCAAAATTTTTCCACCAGTCTGTAGCCCGCAGTCTAGTCTACAACGCTTCTATACATTGCATCCATCCATCACCTCTTCTTCAGGTCAAAAAATCGAAAAAACCGCGCCGAGGTTATGTTTTGGGCCCCTTTTTCACCCCAAATTTGGCCTGTTTGTCCGCACCTTTTCCCCCCATTGCTCTGCCCTCCCAAGAGCTACCAGGATGATCGACCCCTCAATTCATAGCAAAACCCTTTCTCTTTCTGCTCACCAAATATGAAATCGTCCCATGCTCCGCTTCATGCCTAAATCCAGTCCCGTTTAGGTGATGTCGCCGATCGCTACACATCAATCATGGCCCTCTTTCCACTTCCTTCCTTCCAAATGGGCCTATACCTTCTCCCCCTCCATCTACCAGTCACTTCTCTCTTTTCTAGCGCTTTCCATCCGGCACTTTCTCATTTTTAGCCTTTTACTTGCTTTTCCCTCAGACCTCGTTTTTACCCGTACCCCTGGAGCCAAATTCAAATTTTCGCCCTCATTTCCGCCGATTTTCCCTTTTTCTAGGACCTCCGGACCCTTTTCCCCTTTAGGACCTCCGGACCCCAGCCCGCGACATCAGGTTACCGAACACTGCACCCTCCCTTTAAAAGTCACTAAAATCGGCCGAAAAACTCTCCTAAATGCTCTCTGCTAGCCTGCCCCCGCAAAAAAATTCACTTTTTGAAGTTTTTTCGTTTTGAAAAAAATGGGTTTCGTGCTAGAAATGGGCTCGGGAATCTGGGGATTCCAGTAATGATGTTTTGAGCCTGATGCAAAAAAAAAAGTTAAATTACCGGATTTTCGATTGCCCTCAAGCTTCCTCTTCTAGCCTGCCCCATTCCCTGCCTGTCACGCTCCCTTTAAACCGCTAAAAATCCTCAAATTGCTTCTGCTAGCCTGCCCCGGCCCTTTCAAACGCATTACGCCATTAAATTCTTCTAACTTTCCCCAGCTTGACTGCCTGGCTGGGGTCCCATTCGATTACGCCATAAAATTCCGTACTCATGCCCCCGGGAATAATGCCGGAATTCCCAAATGACCTCTGCTAGCCTGCCCATCTGAATTTGACAAATTTTGGTGATTTTTCCAAAAATGAAATGTTTTGATGCAGAATAGGGATGTAGTAGTTTGGAAAGGAGTAATTCTTCAACAGGATCAGCGAAATCAAACCAAATACTGCAAATATTAGCGGATGATTTCCTAGATGATCTCTGCCCGTTACCCCATTACCAAGCTGTCACGTTCCCTTTAAATCCCCCAAAATCAGTTCTCCGAACGGCTCTCTGCTAGCCTGCCCTCAAAAATTAGAGCTACAAATACAAATTTTCACGCTTGAAAAAAATAGGTTTTAGCTTAGAAATGGGCTCTGGAATTTAGGGATTTAGTTAATGCCTAGTCGTCCCCCTCGTTCTAGCTTTCCCCAAGTTTTCTCTGCTAGCCTGCCCCCCGCCCGTTCTAACCCATTATGCCATCAAATTCTCCCAAATTTCCTACGGTAGTCTGCCTGATTGGGGGCCATTCGATTACGCCATAAAATTCCGTACCGAGGCCCCCGGTAAAGAACCTCCTAAAAGCTCTCTGCTAGCCTGCCCTCGGAATTTTAGAAAATTTCAGGATTTACGAAAAATGAAATGTTTCGATACAGAATAGGGATGTCGTAGTTTGGAAAGGAGTAATGTTTCAACGGGATCATCGAAATCAAACCAAATACTGCAAATGTTAGCAGTGTTTCCCAGATGATCTCTGCTTGCCTGCCCCGTTTCCTAGCGGTCACGCTCCCTTTAAACCCCCCAAAATCAGTTCTCCTAAAGGCTCTCTGCTAGCCTGCCCTCAAAAATTAGAGTTACAAATACAAATTTTCACGCTTGAAAAAATGAGTTTCAGCTTAGAAATGGGCTCTGTAATTTAGGGATTTAGTTAATGCCTAGTCGTCCTCGTTTTGTTCTAGCTTTCCCCAAATTTCCTCTGCTAGCCTGCCTCATTTCCTGCCTGTCACGCTCTCGTTAAGCCCCTCAAAAATCCGCAAATTTTCTCTGCTAGCCTGCCCCCGCCCATTCTAACCCATTATGTCATTAAATTCTCCCAAATTTCCACTGCTCTATTGCCTGGTTGGGGGGCATTCGATTACGCCATAAAATTCCGTACCAATGCCCCCGGGAAAGAATGCCGGAATTCCCAGTTGACCTCTGCTAGCCTGCCCTCGGAATTTTAGAAAATTTCAGGGTTAAAGAAAAAATGAAATGTTTCGATACAGAATAGGGGTGCGGTGTTTTTCGAAAGGGATAATACCAGCGCCAGGATTTCCCGAATGATATCTGCCCGTCACCACATTACCCAGCTGTCACGTTCCCTTTAAACCCCCTAAAAACAGCTATAAACCCTTCTCCTAGATGGCCTCTGCTAGCCCGCCCTTCAAAATTAGGGTTATAAATTAGTTTTTCACGCTTAAAAAATAGGTTTCGTGCAGGATATGGGCTCTGGAAATTCGGGATTCAAGTAATCGTTGAATAGATCGTTGAAGTAGCAAGTCGTTGAATCGCGTCTTCTCCAAATTTCCTATGCTAGCTTGCCCCATGCCCTACCTGTCACGCTCCCTTTAAAACCCAGAAAACTCCTCAAATTTCCTCTGCTAGGCTGCCTTCGGAATTTCCAGAAATTTGGATTTTTGAAAAGTAAAATGTTTCGATACAGAATAGGGGTGCAGTATTGTTGGAAAGGAATAATACGTCGACCAGCGGTTTTGGTGTAAAAACACTGAAAACATTAGCAGGATTTCCCAAACGATCTCTGCTAGCCTACCACCCGCTACTGGCTGTCACGCTCCCTTTAAAGCTCCAACGATTCCGCTAATTGCCTCTGCCAGCCTGCCCTCAAAATTGCTATCATTTTTCTGAAATTTCAAAAAATGTTTCGGTCCCGAACTGGGTTGACCATTTTTGGGATAAGAGCAGTAATGTGCGACTACGACCCTTTAGTCTCCAATAATCCCCGCTAGTCTACCCCTTTCCCCGCTGTCACGCTCCCCTTTAAAAACCTACAAATAGCAGAGACGCTCAAATTTCCCCAATTTCCTCTGCTAGCCTGCCCTGGCTTTTCTAATCAAGTACGCTAGCAAAACGCGGCTAAATTCCCTAAAAATCCACGAATTTCCCAAATTTTCTCCGCTAACTGGCCAATCGATTACGCTGGTTAATTTCCGACCTGTTGGACCTAATTCCGCAACGATCTCTGCTAGCCTGCCCGTTGGCTTGCTAATCGATTACGCTAGCAAATTTCACTAAAGCGGCCTTCAAATTCCCCAAAAAACTCTGCTAGCCTGCTCTCAAAATTTGCTATCATTTTTCTGAATTTTCAACAAAAAAAATGTTTCGGTCGAAAATTGGGTTGACCATTTTGGGGATAAGAGTAATGCGGACGCCAAACAGCACAAATCCATCCCAAATGGTCTGTGCTAGCCTGCCCGTCTTCTCTGTCCAATTACGCTAGCAAAACGCAGCCAAAAATCCACGAATTTCCCCAAATTCTCTCTGCTGGCCTGCCCTGCCCTTGCTAATCGATTACGCCGTAATCAGAAGAAGTTCAGAAGAGTACCTGGTTGTCACGTTCCCTTTAAAACGCCCAAAACAGCAAGAAATCCTCCTCCTAAATGCCCTCTGCTCGCCAGCCCTCAAAAATTAGGGACTGAAATAACTTTTTCACTTAAAAAAATCGGTTTCAGGCCAGAAATGGGCTCCGGAATTTCGGGGATTCGAGTAATGAACCGCAGCCCTTAGTCTTCTCCAAATTTTCTCTGCTGGCCAGCCCCCAGTCCCTATCCTGTCACGCCACCTTCATAACCGCCGGAATCCACAAATTGTCTCTGCTCGATCGCCCAGAAATTGGGCGCCGAATTTCTTAGATTTTCGCCAAAAAAATGAATGTTTCGCTCCCGAGGTGGGTTCACCATTTCTGGGATAGCCGTAATCAGAGGTGTATGGCTCGCCGTAAATTACGCCACGTTTTCTACGAGTTTCGATTTCCCAAATGATCCCTGCTAGCCGGCCCCGTTTCCTAGCTGTCACGCCGCCTTTAAAGCCCCCCTAAAATCAACCATGAATCCTCCTAAATTATCTCTGCTAGCCTGCCCTGCCTAATCGATTACGCCAGGTAATCCCAACTTCAAAAGCTCGTTAAAATTTTGCAAATCTCAAATTTTCTCTGCTAGCCCGCCTTCCACCCCGCTAATCGATTACGCCAGGCAACTCCAGACCTAATTCCCCAAAAAACTCTGCTAGCCTGCCCTCAAAAAAATCGTAAAAAACTGCTCACTTTTGCATGGGATACAGTCGCATCGGCCTCGCCTCGCCATCAATATTCACGGGGGCTATGTGGTAGGGCAGAGCGGCTTCGGGTTGTTGATCTTCTTCCTGCAGAAAAACGATTTCAAGACGTTCAAAAACTCAATTTCATTTTAAAAGTTTTTAAAGGCCCATTGAAGGCAAAAATGGGCGTGGTCCTATGGACTTGAACTTCACCGGTCCTTTAAAAATTCAGAAAAAATTACTAGGGCCTTTTTAAAGGGCCATTGAAGGCAAAAACGCGCCTGGTCTTGTGGATTTTCGCGTAAACGACCATTTAACACCTGTGTTTCCGTTTTAAAGGGCCATTGAAGACAAAAAAACGGGCGCGACCTTATGGATTTGGCCTTCACTAGTTTTTAAAACCGATTTGGAAGCTTTTAAAGGGCCCCCGAAGGCAAAAATCCGCCAGAAAAACGCTCACCTCTCCCCCATTTTCGTCGACGTCAATCTGCGGCGCCGCGGAGGAGGGCTCTTCGTGCTAAAAATTGAAAATAAATATATTAATTACGCTTAAATACGTATATAAAAAATAGATAAAAGTTTAAAAACAAAAAATGCGTTTTTTTTTATAAATTACAAGTTTTAAAATTGAAAAATGCCTTAAAATTTGATTTTAAAAACAACAGTTCAGTTCAGCCAAACAATTCAAAATGAATTTTGAAAAGTATATTAATTAAGTTTTTGCCAAAAATATAAATATAACATTTTAAAAATCGACAAAATTCGATTTTTTTTAATCTAGAAATTTGTAAAAATTGAAAAACAGCATTAAAGTTTTACTGTTAGAAAACCGGCATTAAATTGTACCTGTATTTTGCGCTTCTGCAAAATGCTTGGCCGGGTGACCTTGTTGTACTCGAGCTTCTTCGGGTCGTTCACCGAGACGGACGCCTAAAAAATTAAACTTCCTAGTAATTAAATTGGAACAAAAAATTAAAACCTTTAATTAAAATTTATAAAAAGCGTTTAAAAATTACAGCTTAAAATTTTTAAAACGCTACAATGTTAAAAAATAAGTTTCAAAAAATCACGAAATTAAGTGCGCCAAAATCATTATTAATTATTATTAGCCCAATCAAAAAATTAAAGTTTAAAATTTGACAAGACAAAAAATTAAAAAATAAGTTTCAAAAAATCAGAGACAAAATGAAATTTATAAAATGGCAATGGATGACGTGCGGACGCCTCAAAAAAAATTCCAAATCCGAAATTACAGTACCTTATACTGGACGGGCTTCTTCTGCTGTGCCGGGTCGCTGACCTCGGCCAACTTCTCCAGGTAGTGGATGAACTGCAAAAAAGCGTTACAATCAGTAAACGTATAAACCACTGTTTTTCCTATTACTAAACCTCAAGACTTTATAAATCTATCAAAAATACAAAAAATATCGATTTTCTGGCCAAAAATAAGCGATTTTTCGGTCAAACTCTCGAATTTTGAAAAATGTTAAAAGTTTGTTAGGGATTTTTTTCAATTGAAGCATAGGTAAACTTTGCTAAAAACTTACTAGTAAAGTACTAGGAGTTTTTGGATATATCTAAGAAAAAATTCGGCTTTGGGGCGTCGCAAAAACATGAAAGAACCAGGTTTTTGCGCGCCACGCGACACGCAACGCTTCCGCCCAAATGACGTGACGGACGCGTCAAGTGTCGCGCCAAAAAACCCACATTTGAACCTAGGCAAAGTTGTCAAATTTAGATACCTCGGGCGGTGCCTCCTTGTTGAGATAGAGATGTGGGGCAAAGTCCTCGTGACTGGGGTCGCTGCTCGGTTTCCCACTACGGAAATGCACCGAACACACACGGTCGTGCTTTCCGCTCGCTTCCTAGAAAAATAAAAATAAACTAATATAATAACTAATATTCAAGAAAAATTTTAACAAAAGGCGTTTTGACCAGAATTTCGAATTTTTCAAAACTTTTTAGATAGTTTTTCTAGTTGAAATCAAGTTATTATTTACAAAACACTTTCTATTAAGTTACTAGACATTTCTAGACTTAAACAAAAAAGTTAGGCCCCCCCGATAATGCCAAAGAAACAATTTTAATAAAAACCAAAAAACGTACCCGATTCCCAATCGCGTACAGCCACTGCACTCGTTTCAGCCCCGGCTCCTTCGGTACGCCGAAAAATCGCACGGAAGCGTACGCGTTTTTCCTCGTCCACCCACAAAATACGCAACGCTCCATCGCCTGAAAAAAGATAGAAAATTAGACGCCTGGAAACTGTAAAAGGAGAAGCGGAAAAAGAGGCAGGCTAGCGGCGGAAATTTGCGGAAAATCGCACGAATTGCTTGTGAAAAAAGACGTGCAACCCAATTCTGAATTAAAACACATTGTTGTAAATAAAAAAAAAACAAAAAAAGCCCTATGAAAAATCGCGTTTAAGAAACGGAAAATTGCAATGGAATTCAAAAAAATAACGTTAAGTGGTATTGAAAAAAAAAAATTAAAAGCCTAAAAACATTTTGCAATTGCATAATAGATGAAACTCCTTTTTTCAAGTTATCGACGATTTTTTTCTGGAATTTGTTACACATGCTAATTGTCGCTTTTTAGAGTTTTAGAAAACGTTTTAGAAAACGGAAAATTGCAACGGAAAATCGAAAAATAACGTTCAAACGATAAGAGTCCGTTTTTTAATGAAAACCTAAAGAAAATTTGAAAATGGCAAATAGATAAAACTCCTTTTTTCAAATTTTCGAATGTTTTTTTAATTTTTTCGATACGGTAATTGGCACTTTTTAAGACCAGTTACATACTTTTTATTAAAAAATCAAAAGCCTAAAAAAAAGTTGAAACTCTAAATCGATGAACCAAAAAAAAACATTGAACATCACTGCAAACAAACGGAGAATTAAAATAGAATTTTAAAAAATCATCAGATTCACGGCAGAAACATACAATTTACAAAATGTAAAATTTTGAAAAATTGCTTACAAAGGTCTCTGCTAGCCTGCCAGTCAAGGGGAAACGCAAGGAACGCAATTCAAAAAATCAAAAAAATTTGAAATTTTTTTGAAAATTCCTCAAAATCTCTGCTAGCCTGTCTGGTCCCCTCCTCAAAAACCTCTGCTAGCCTACCAGTTGTAAAAGGCAACGTAGCAGGGATTATTTAGCGAAAAATCGCGCTTGTTAAAGGGCTAGTTCAGCCAATAAAACAAAAGAATTTCCGTGGCCAGGAGTCGAAACCTCGCTGCGTTTTTGTGTCTGCGCCTCTCTCATTTCTCCGATCTCTAATAGCTGCCGTAATGGGGGACTGTTCGGGCGCACTGTGCCTACGTCCATAGTTTCCCAAGGTACCAGCCCAAGCTCCAAAAGTTGAACTAGCCCTTTAAAAAGGTTTTTGTTTTTCAAATTCTAGAAATTCCTGAAAATTCCTCAAAAATCGCTGCTAGCCTGCCGCCAGACAAAAAGGGGCAGCCTAGCAGAGATTATTTGCTGCCAAAATGACGATAATTGAGAGACGATCAGAAAGTTCTAAATGAGATGCCAAAAACGAAAATTGTCCGGTCCAGGCGGGAAACATAAAAATTCAAAACGTTAGAAATGTTAGAAAATTCCCCAAAAATCTCTGCTAGCCTGCCAGGGAAGGGCAAGCTAGCAGAGATTATTTAGAGCAAAAGTAATCACAATAATAAAAGTTTAAAATCATAACCAACAATTCTAAAGCAAGAAACCTCAAAATTCTACCAGAAAATTTGAAAAATCCCTCAAGAACCTCTGCTAGTCTATCTTGCAAAAAAGGGCAGGCTAGCAGGGATTATTTGCTGAAAAAAGACGAAATTTCAGACACAATGATATAAAAAAGCGAGGAAATTGAAAATTTGCCAGGGCAGGCTAGCAGAGATTTTTGGTGAAAATCGCAAATAAAACTGCCGACAACCGATTATCGTATTCCAAACCTCGCGCACCCAATTTTGGGGCGAAACACATTATTTAAACCGCAAAAATATCCAAGGTTTTAGTGCCCAAAGGGCGGGCTAGCAGAGAGCATTTGCGAAATTCCTGAAGGGAGCGTGAAAGCCAGAAAAGGGGCAGGCTATGGAAATTTGCGGAAATCGCGCTCCCGGAGACAATTCGAAATATTCGAAAGGTAATTAATCGATTTCGGAAAACTTGAAACCCATTTCAGGATCGAAACACATTTATTTTCAAAAAAACTCTTTGCTACGAGAATTCGAGGGCAGGCTGGCAGAGAGTGGGAAGAAGTGTGAATTTTGAAGGGCGTGTGACCGCTAGAAAAAGGGGCAGGCTAGCAGCGGAAATTTGCGGAAAATACAGCTCCCCGAATTAAAATAATCCAATTCGATTTGTACAACCTATGGACCCAAAGGATTAACTGATTTCCTAAAGCCGGAAACCCGTTTCTGGGCCAAAACATTCATTTTCGAAAATTCCTAGCTACGAGAATTCGATGGGGCAGGCTAGCAGCGAGCATTTGGGAAGTCTTAAAGGGAGCGTGACAGCCAGAAAAGGGGCAGGCTAGCAGAGGTAGTTTGCGGAAAACTGGAAAAGCAAAGATAATATTTAAAGAAGGCCAAAAACTAGAGGAATTACTCGAATCCAAAAGCAGCGCGGCCCACCTCGGAAACGAAACCTAATTTTTTTTTTATTGAACAAAAATGAAACCCGGCTTTTAACAAAATCCTCGAATCAGAGGGCATGCTAGCCGGGACGCTTTGGGAACCTTTTGAGGGCTGGGGCAGCCTAGCAGAGGCAATTTCGGAAAACACAAAGCTCAAAAAAATTCGTAACCGACACGGGACATCAGAAATTGCTCGAATCCCTGAAATCGGCACCCAATTCGGGCACAAAACATTTCATTTTTAAAATGGTTGCGAAATTTCGACGTTCGCCAATTTAGCAGCGGGCAAGCTAGCAGGGAGCCTTTGGGAATTTTTTAAAAGGAGAGTGGCCTCAGGAAAGTGGCAGACTAGCAGAGGTAATTTGCGGAAAATTGGAGGGCACGACAGAAGCGTCATAATTGGACGTGATCATTTGGGACGAAGCAAGGTAGGCTAGCAGCCGAACTTTGCGGAAAAACAGCACTCCCAGAATTGCTCGTTGTTTTAGGCATTCTATTGAGTGGTTAATTAATCGATTTCGAAAAGCCGGCAACCCATTTCATAGCCAAAACATTTATTTTTTAAAAATCCCCCAGCTACGAGAATTCGATGGGGCAGGCTAGCAGAGGGAATTTGCGGAAAAAGGAAGCCTCGAAATAGGCATTTAATTGGACATTATGGGACGAATTATTACTCGATACCAAAATCCGACAACCCCAATTCTAAATTAAAACACCTTTTTGTAAAAAAATCTAAATTTTTTACTCTGACCCGGGGCTAGCAGCTCGGGAGCATTTGGAAGTTTTTTAAAGGGAGAGCCGCAGTTATCAAAATGGCAGGCTAGCAGAGGAAATTTGCGGAAAGTCCAGCTCCCAGAATTAGAGTAATACAATTCGATATGTGCAAGCTATGCGCCAACAGGATTAATCGATTTCGGGAACCCGGCAACCCTTTGCGGGGTCAAAACATTCATTTTCGAAAAATCCCCAGCTACGAGAATTCGATGGGACAGGCTAGCAGAGGGAATTTGCGGAATTTGTAAAAAGAAAATTTTTAAAACACCCCGGAAAGGGGCAGACTAGCAGAGGCCATTGGAGAACCCCTCAAGCCCAGAAATTCTAAAATATTCTGGCACCGGATTCCAGGAATATATTACGCAAATCGCGAAACGCGGCAACCGGTTTTAGAGCCAAACATGTTTTTGTAAAAAAAAATTATTATTATTGATTTTGACGGTAAGCTAGCAGCATTTAGGATTTTTTTTAAAGAAGCATGACAGCTAGGAAAAGGGGCAGGCTAGCAGTGGGAATTTGCGGGAAAAGGAAGCCTCGAAATAAGCGTCATAATTGGACGTAGCCTTGGACTAAATATTACTCGATACCAAAAGACGACAAACCCAATTTTGAATTAAAACATATTTTCGCAAAAAAAATATTTCAAATTTATTATTTTGGCGAGGGACAGGCTAGCAGAGAGCATTTAGTAAGTCTTAAAGACAGCATGACAGCTAGGAAAAGGGGCAGGCTAGCAGGAACAATTTGCGGAAATACCACACTCCCAGAATTGCTCGTTGTTTTAGGAATTCTATTGGGTGGCGAATTAACCTATTTCGAAAAGCCGCCAACCAAATTTTAGAGAAAAACATTTTTTTTGCAAAAAATTCCTGGCTACGAGAATTTGAGGGCAGGCGTGCAGGGTGCATTTGGGATATTTTAAAGGGAGAGTGACCGGTAGAAAAGGGGCAGGCTAGCCGAGGCAACTTAGGAACACGAAAATCAAAAAATAGCATTGCATTTTCGTAGAGCCCGAATAGCCCGATTACTCCCAAACCCGGGGCCGGCAACCCAACTTCGGAGCGAAACGTGTTATTTGCAAAAATTCTCAATGGTGACTAATTCGAGGGGGCAGGCTAGCAGAGGCAATTTCGGAGAGTCTGCAGACAAAGGCAAGCTAGCAGAGTCCATTCGAGAAATCCCAAAGCCTAGAACTTGAAAAATACTATTTTGTCAGCCAGAATCCGAGCCACGTCAATTAAACGAGCCACGAAAGGCGGAAACCCAATTCAGAAGCAAAACTTATTTTTGGAAAAAATATGTCAAACCGGCTAATTCCGGGGGCGGGCTTGCAGAGGCAATTTGAGGAATTGAAGAATTCTGAAGGGAGCGTGACATCTAGGTGCGGGCAGGCTAGCAGAGACCATTGGAGAAATCGCAGGAACCTAGGAATGAGAGCGTAATATTCTATCATTACCCGGAACCGAAAAGTCCACGGCTCAATTTCCGATCAAAACACATTTTTTTGCAAAAAAGCTTGCCCTGTTGGCTAAAATGCAGCGGTAATCTGCAGAATTTAAGAATTCTAAAGGGAGAGCGACAAGTAGGGAAGGCAGGTTAGCAGAGACCTTTTGAGAAAAATCCGACACTTAGAAAATAGGGAAAGGTCGGGAAATTTATCTCGGGAAAATTCGCTTATACGGTCACCTACCCAAAACCTAACTTTTGATATGTCAAAATGCCCAGCAGGACGAGCTGGTGCAAGATCCGTTGAGAAAACTTGGCGGCAAAAGCTCTATCTCTATCTCGAGATATTGAAAGATAAAGGTCGAAAAATCAATTTTTTCGA